AGGGGGGGTCAGACAGGCAGGCAAGCAGACGGACAGGTAAACAGACAGACAGACAGACAGACAGACAGACAGACAGACAGACAGACAGACGGACAGACAGACAGACAAACAGACAGACAGAGAGACAGACAAGTAGATAGACAGGCAGGCAGGCAGACAGACAAGCAGACAGACAAGCAGACAGACAGTGAGCGGAAGAGAATGTTCCAGCGTCACCCTTGAAGGAGGGGAGGATTGGTTACAAACTGGCATAGGGCCTCACTGCTCCACTAGCCAAATTCTAGCATTTTGAACGTATCAGGGACCTGTTATTGTCCTGATACATTCAAAATGATGGTGTATGACGAGCGGTGTGGCGAGGCCCATGGTCTGGTGTTGATTTGGAGAGGAGCCAGTTTGGCGTCGGGAGGCATCTGTATAATATTTTCCACTGCAGCGCCCTTTGGGATGTGGACACGAGGTTCACAAACCTGTACCATCTAAAGTCTTTGAAGTCTTCAGGAGTGAGGGACAATTATTTTGCCCATCTTTTCTTAATCAAGTCTTTAGAGGGGTTGAGTGTGGGGTTGACGCGTATTCCTCCTTTACCGAATAGGATATCTTCACAGCCTATTGTATCCCTGATTCGAACTCGCGATCTGTTCATTTACGGTTACATGCATATACGGTTCGGCCACATGGGCTTGGTTCTATTCCCTTGATTTTTTAACTTCTTTTGCGGAAACTTGACTTTTGATGCTATGTTCTATTCTGGCAGCATTAAGCAGCATAGAAGTCCAGGTCCTTTTCAATTTTTTTTTTTCTTTTTTCTTTTGCTTTCCTTCCTCTCTCTTTTCCTGTTTTCTAAAAGGGCGATGGCTGTGAGATATCATCATTGAACTGACCGGCCCCAGGAAATCGGAATTAATGCATTCTGGTCGCCTGATCGTATCTGGATTCGAACTTGGGTCTGATTCATATTTCAACAGTCCGTGGGTGTACCAACTGACCTACCTTCTTCCCCCGAATACAACGTACGGTCATTATAGCCGTATGTGATGCATCTTTCAGTCTAGATTCAGCTATAATGACCGTACGTTGCATTCGGGGGAAGAAGGTAGTAAGTCAAAAGTTCACCAAACACACACACAGAACTTGGCATTTCTGGAAAGACAGGGGTGAAGGATCACAATCTCTTTTCCCCTTTTGGATCGCACAGGTTCACTTTTTTTTTCTTCTTCTTTTCTTTTGAATTGCACAGATTCACTTCTTCTTCTTCTTTTTTTTTTTTTTTTTTTCCCACTCACTCACTCCCAGCCCCTTCCATTCTGGGTGGCATCAGACTGGTTGCTTATCACCGGCAAGCGAAGTTTTTGAAACAATTTGAAACAAGCAGAGGGGGAGATCAGACAGAAAAGAGAGACAGCCTGCCTGCCCTTGTGGCTCGTGCCGCCTGTTCAAAGGGGGGGGGCGGTTGCCACAGCGCCATCCACACCCCCCCCCTTTGGCCTTTCCTTGGGGGGTTATCCTGCAAGTCGGGAAGCTTGCTAGCAGACAGTGTGGCGGGGTGCAGATTCACAATTTCACACTCTTCGTCCTTTTTTTAGTTTTGAAAAAGGATGGCGGCCTTGACATATCATTCAGACTCTGGGCCTTGCTCCACTACTCACCAATTTGCAAAATGAGAACGAATCTTCCGCCAAAACATCGAAAGATACATATTACATAGCCATAATTTTTGTCTTTGGTGCATGTTTCCTGACTTTCCTCATTGTTGCCCTCCACCTGTAGATACCCTATTTGTCTTTTTTTCCCTGAGAAAAAAAAAGGGCCACCACCTTGAGGTACCATACCATCATTGGTCTGACTGGCCCCAGGTAATTCTTTCCCAGTTCTTTATTTTTATTTGTCTTATCCCATCAGGGTTTGAACTCAAGTCTGCATATCAACAGTTCATGGGTGTACCATTCATTCAGCCACACCGGCTCGGTTCTTTTTGGCTTTGCCGACCCTTTATTCCCTCCGAGGCTTCCCCTGACTTTTTTTCTGAGGCTCCCCCCGACTTTTTTCTTTTCTTTCAAATAACAGGTCCTCATGGCCCTGGCTCCATATCCATCCTGGGGAGCGTCAGTCCGGTTCCGATTCCCCCCGGCAAGTCACAATACTAAGATACATCATTTACACACATACACATTCCTTCTGTTTGGCCGAGCGGTCCCGGGCCGGCATTGATTGCTCCATGTTACAGGAGGATTGACTGAAAGCTTGCCCTTCTCATGTATTCCTCTCAGGTTCCGTCTGTGGACCTGTCAGCTCTGGCTATTCACATCTCTCTCTCTCTCTCTCTCTCTCTCTCTCTCTCTCTCTCTCTCTCTCTCTCTCTCTCTCTCTCT